TTGTTGTGTAGAAACACTTAGTTTTATGTGGTCTTCATCATCAGCTTTATTTTCGCATGCCCAAATGCTACTAGGAAGGCACATATCCTGAAACATTTCTTAGATCTTTTGTTTTGGGAATTATGTGACTTCGTTTCTTACATATAAATCGCGAATCCACTAAATAACATTACTTGAGTTTACCATGGGTATTCCGACCTTTTCTCCTAATATCCACTTATTAGTGAGTACATACTATGTATGTGCTTTTAGGACTAGTTTACGTCACTGAGGATGGTATTTTCTGTTTACAGCCATTGGCCTGTGAATTTCATGAAGCCATTGTTTTTTATACTTGAGTAGTACTCCATTGTGTAAATGTACCACATTTTCTGTATCTATTCCTCTGTTGAGGGACATCTAAGTAATTTCCAGCTTTTAGCTACTACAAATAAGGCTGCTATGAACATAGTAGAGAATTTGTCCTTGTTATATGTTGGAGAATCTTTTGAGTATATGTCCAGGAGTAATATAGCTGGATCCTCAGTTAGTATTATGTTCAGTTTTATGAGGAACTGCCAGACTGATCTTCAGAGTGTTTTTACCAGCTTGCAATCCCACCATCAATAGAGGAGTGCTCCTCTTTCTCCACATCCTTGCCAGCATCTGTTGTCACCTGAGTTTTTGATCTTAGCCATTCCATACAAAGCTCAAGATGAAGGAAGACCAAACTGTGGATGCTTCAGTCCTACTTAGAAGAAGGAACAAAATAAACATTGGATGTAGAGGGAGGGAGGGACTTGGGAGGAAGAAAGGAGGGGAAGGGGGAAAAGAGGATAGGATCAGATGTGTGAGGAGACTGGGGATATGTGCAGAGGGTCAGAGAACTGAACAGTGGTTTGTAGTGATGGAGAATGGGGAACTAGGGGTAGCCACCAAAAACGTTTAGATGCCAGGAATGAGAGAGGATCCCAGAACCCAATCGGGATTACATTAGCTGAAATACCTGCCAAAGAGGAGAGAGAAACTGCAGAGATTATATCCAGAGGTTAGGCATGGCCCCCTGTTGAGGGATGGGGCCACCCACATATCTCAAAAATTTTAACCCCAAATTAGCAAATATAGGGACAAAGAGTGGAGCAGAGACTGAAAGAAAGGCCACCCAGAGACTGCCCCACCTGGGGATCCATCCATATACTGACACCAAACCCAGGCACTATTGCGGATACCAAGAAGTGCTTGCTGACTGCAGCCTCCAGTACAAATGTGGATGCTTACAGCCAACCTTCTGACTGACAATGGGGACCACAACTGAGGAGTTAGTAGAAGGAATGAAGGAGCTGGAGGGGTTTGCAACCCCATAGGAATAACAATATCAACCAACCAGATCCCCCAGAGGTTCCAGGAACTAAACCACCAACTAAAGAGTACACGTGGTGGGACCCATGGCTCTAGCTCCATATGTAGCAAAGGATGGCTTTTTCTGGCATCAATGGGAGGGGAGGCCTTTGGTTCTGTGAAGATTTGATGCCCAAGCGTAGGGGAATGCTAACGTGGTGGGGTAGACGTAGGAGGGTGAATGGATGGAGGAAAACCCTCATAGAAGCAGGGGGGATGGGATAGGAGGTTTGCAGAGAGGAAATGGTGAAGGAGGATAACGTTTGAAATGTAAATAAATAAAATAACCAATAAAAATAACAGTACTTGTACATGTATTTTTATACCATTTTATTATACTGCATAGAACTTTTTATTTGACAGTTATGTCAGACATCATGTAGCACAGACTAAATGAATGAATATATGCCTGTATCATCACTGAGAAGTATCAGAAAAAACTCTAAGGAAAAACATAGATAAGACAAGCATTTGTATGGTGGATAGATTTTTAATAAATGAGTGAGACACATTGAATCTGCAAGACAACTAATCAGATTATAGTCCTATTAGATAATTTTAAAATTACAGTGGGAGAAGAATTGTCTGGAGATATTATAGACAGAGTTCTGGAACACCATACTTGAGAAGATATAAACCAACATCTAATCATTTCTAATAGTGAATAAGTGGGAGACCACAGTAACAATATAGTTGATATCAAACAGGGAAAGCTAATAAATTTACTGAAATTGTCACATTAGTATTAGTGTGGTATTACTTTAAACCCCTTATAAGGTAATCTTTTAACCCCTTAGTGATACCTTTAGGAATAGGAATGACTCAAATACAGATGTGCCATGAAAAGCCCATAGCAGAAGTGGAATTCTCAACCTTTCTAAAGGTCAGACTGTCTCTTTTGGAAAGTTGAGATGATCTGAGCCTCTCCTAGGGATCTTGAGTTATCTGAATGTCTTTCAGAAAAGTTGGTCTTTACTGAGTGCCCTCAGTAGTCTTTACTCCATGTATAATCTTAGGAAAGGAGGGTCCTGTGCATCTGTTCAGTTGTTAGGACTTGCAGTGCTTCTGTGTTGTTTACTTTCTCAGTATTAGAGAATATCCCTTTAGAATTTTTGATTTCTGCATGATGCAGTATTTCACTTTGTTTTGGAACATTCACAGTCATGATGATTGCCCTCCCAAGATGTCCTATTTGAATGTTACCATAATGGGCATAGAATGACCTGTAGCAATGCCACTAAGAAATCACTTGAGATGCATTTTTTTTCATTCAGAGAATAAACATGACCATTTAACATCAGAGTAGAGTTTAATCCTATGATCACTTGTATTTGTCTATGAACAGTATTAAATGAGGTGTCTTGAAGTATCAATATGAAGCTATAATAAAAACTTTCATTTGAACAATGCTGCATTGCCATTTTTGAAGATTGAACATTGAAGATTTTAAAATATTTAAAAAGTGGTAGAATATAGCAGGAGATATAATCCAAATATCACCTGGGTAATTTTTTTTAACAGACTTAGACATTATATTTATTAGTTTCACTAGCAATTTTGAAAACTCACACATGGATTACATTTCAATTACTATTACATTATTTTTCAAATATAGAAAAAACCAAAAGTGCAACAGTTTTTGAAAGACTGAAGAAAATAAGAAATTTATATGTCTTTGTGTAAATCTAAAAATGTACTACATGCCAATTCTATTGCCAAGGCCTTTGAAATATGTAAGTATGATCACCAGAAAGATCACATGAAATAAATTGGAGAGAACCAAGCTTTCATAGTTAATAAATGTCAGAAATATTAGTGACCATCAATATCTTAGAAGGAACTGTAATTTTTAAGTAAAAATAAAATCTTTGTAATACAAGACTATCAGGATACAAACTTTTAGACAGGGAGCTGAATTTGTCAATTCAGAGCAATTAAGCTCTAGAAGACAGCTTTTTACCACAAATGAATAGCTATTTATTACCTAAAGATAAAAGCTTGAAAGGATGTCTTTTAACAAGTTCATTTACAGCAGAACAACATTTTCCCCACATTTCAATAAGAATTTAAAGACTAAGTTATTTTAGTTGCTATTCCATGTGATATAAATATGTTTTTAATGTAAATAATAGTTGATAATGACAAAAAATGTGAGTTGAGGTAATATCAGAAGAACAACAGATAAATAATCAAAACTGAGACTTGCATGGTCTACATTAATGGAAGTAAACTGCTGGAAAGAGTTGTACAAGCATACACAAAGGATTGAGGCCCACTTTACAAATTTCTAGAATATTATTTTTTAGAAAACATGTACAAAAATAAGAAAAACTGATTCTGTTATTCCAATCTCTCTATTCTCAAAAATATTACATATAATTATATTTTTGTACTGTATTTACATCCACACAGATAATCTTAGTATTTAGCTCCAAACAAATATTTTTATCATATGTGGCATTTACATTGCTATGATGTTAAGTAATATTCACAAGTCAGAAGATTAAGATATAGACTTGTCGAATTGATATTTAGCACTCGAATAGTGGCAAGAATGTTTTTGTGTATCTCACTTCTTAGAAAAATGTATTATAATGAATTAAGAGCAGATGTTGTATGATTTTATTTGGAAAAGTGTGAAAAAGCTACTATTCTCACAAGTGGCATGTGAGTTAAGGGCATGAAAAAATAACTTCACACAAGTGTAGCTTACTGAACCAAAGAAAATTCATTCACGACCATAAGCAAATCAAAGACAGCTTCAAAACCAGATGTTTACCACCTTGTGGTTGATGTCTTACAATTGCTTATACCCTAAAATCTCTCTGATCAACTTAACAATTTCAAAAGGAATGAATTCTTTCCACAGAAACTTTGATGGAACTATAACACTTTGGGGAAATCTTTTGAATATTATTAATTTCAGAACTTTCACAGACTCTTAAGTGCTGTTAGTTTCCTGAGTGTTAGGGATTCTATATTTTCAGTCTAATAGCTATATAATAGTAGAACACTCAGAGTTTTGCCACTGACATCATGCAAATATGGGATTATCTACAATGTCCAAAACTAGCTAGAGACCGATCAAAATATAAAGTTTGAATTGAAGTTACTATCTTGTATATGAACAAATGATAATTTATATCTGAAATTTTAGTTTCAGTATTTCAAAAGTATTTGTGATAGACAACATTTATACTAGAATGATGATATTTTCTTATCTCTGAACCAATAGCATTCATATGAAGGAAAACTGTCTATTACACTATATTTAATGACAAACATAACATAATATAACAATGTGGATGGATTTTTCATTTTAAAAGAACAAAAGCAAAGAAGAAGCTAGAATGCCTCACAGAGCCAAATACTATGAGGATTTAGTAATTAGTTAATGCATTATTACATTGATTAATCTGAACCAAATTGGAAGTTTTTCTGGGATATATTTTATCTGGCCCAAAACATGAAATAAAACAGACTGTAAATATTCTATCTACTTAAAGCTTTTTTTTTAAATTTTCAATAGTTACACATTTCTGCCTTTAAGACAGGTCTATATATTTCCCTTGAATTGGAAGTACAGTTTTTCATTTAATGACTTAGTAAATTAGAACACAAAACTATGGAAAACAAATGATCCCAATGATGAGCTGCTTCAAGGATCCTTTAATTTCCTTGCTTCTCAAACTGTAGATAAAAGGATTTAGCATTTGAGGGACCACACTATACATCATGGATGTTATTACATTGCTAATGGAAGAGTTAGAAACTGCAGCATTCATGTACACACCTAAGCCAGTCCCATAGAATAAAGATACCACTGAAAGATGAGATCCACAGGTGGAAAATGCTTTATGCCTTCCACCAACGGATGGGATCTTCAGAATAGAGGACACAATTTGAATATAAGAGAAAATAATCCCAGAGAGTGGGATAACTGAAAATACAATGGTTGCAGTATAAATAAAAAGAATATTGATAAATATATCAGAGCAGGAAAGCTTTATGATTTGGCCAAGTTCACAAAAGAAGTTGGGGACATTCTGTTCTTTGCAGAAGGACAGTGGCAACACCAGAATGGTATGGAGTAGTGCATTCATAGTGCTGATGAACAGGGAAAGTAATACTAGGAAAATGCATAGAAATGGGTTCATAATGATTGTGTATCTTAGAGGTTGACAAACGGCCACATAGCGGTCATAAGCCATCACAGTTAGGAGACAGCTTTCTAAAACACAAAATGTCAAGATAAAACATACTTGTGACAAGCAGCCTATGTAAGTGATGCTCTGGTCATGTACTTGGATGTTCAAAAGTAACTTTGGGACTGTCGTTGTGCTTGTACAGATATCAGTGAAAGATAGATTGCAAAGAAAGAAGTACATGGGAGTGTGAAGGTGGGAATCCTTGCTTACAGCCAGTATAATGAGTAAGTTTCCAATGATGGTGATAAAGTACATGGACAGGAACAAGTTGAAAAAGAGGGGTTGTAGTTCAGGGACATATGTTAGTCCCATGAGAAAGAATTCTGAAATGCTTGTTTGGTTTGCAAGTTCCATGTATACACATTAATATTGAGAAAAAAGTGCAATGAAAATATATTATTTTTTGTAATGAATAGAAGCATCACATTACTATAGGACATATATAAACAGAATTGTAATATTTTGACTTACTTTTAATAATTTCATAGATCATGAGATATAATACATTTTTAAATAAATACTCCTACTAAAGCTTGGAGAGAATGGCTCCTGGGTAAAATGTACTTGCTCTTGCACAGGATTCAGGTTTGTTTCTCTACATTGTTGTCTGGAAGCCCATAACTTCCTGTGACCAGCTCCAGAACTTATGATTTCTTCTGTCTTCCAAAAAATATTATCTCACATGTGGCATTTGCACACTGGCACAGGCACACACTAAGAAAGGAATGTGTAAAAAAATACTTATTGATATTTTTCCCTCTAAAGCTTGAGAAACAGTGCTTATAAAATAAAACCTTTCTTAGTTATAAGATGAACTACGAAATTCTTCAGATTTATCTCTATAACCTGCCTCTACTTCTCCTGTTGTTTGTGTTCTAATATCTATTCAATATATAGAATACAAAGACATTTGCAAATATCCTGACAATGATGAGACTTGATTGAGTAATAAATCTCAGCTTTTCTCCTTTAAGAGTCTACACCTTCAAGCAAAATGGCAGACTATTATGAATGTATTAGTCTCAAAATCAATAGCAATGATCAAATTGAATCAAAATTTTCTTGTTATCCCTCTGAATTACAGTTAAACTGGCTCACACATTTGACACACTTATGATAGTATAGCACCAATGTACACAACCAATAGAGTAAAAGTCTGATCTCCATTCTTTTCTGCTCAATTTGAGTCTCTGAACATTCTACACCTATGTCTCCAGAAATATGTAATTACTACTCCTAAATTGTCTGAGTCATAATACAATCTTTTCTCATTTTAGTATTTAATTTCAAGTATAGTCTTAAGCTTTCCTTTATTTGATGCACTCTAAAAATCTACTCATTAATGAAATTTGAAGAAATGCAGAACATCATTTGAGCTGAGTTTGAGTTAAAATTGGTGAATTCTGCCTATAGTTTTCTAGCTCAAAAGTGCTGTCACTGAAAACTAAAAAAAAAATCTGTTTTAAAAATTAATTTTACAGGAAGTATAGAGACCATGTTAACAACTGTCATTTATCTTAAAAATATTGAAATTTTAATAAAATATAGAACATACCATTAGATATATTACAGCTGAAAATATCAAAATACTATATATAAATAATGAAATAGTGAATTCTTGTTAAACAATTTGTAGTTTCTTGATAGAGACTTACAGATAACACAGACGTAGATAACTAGATGTAAGAAAGAAGGAGAGTAATCATGAGAAGTAATGATTTTCTTCTCATATTAAATAGGAAAATAGCTATAATAGCAATAATCATTTAGTGTAATAATCATTTCACACATTCTGCATTTATAAGACATACTTGTTATTTATTGTGTTAATGAGACACATCATAAATTTATTTCAGACTATTGTATTAATTTTATAAATAACCAGAAACTGCAACTAAATGAGAAACCTGGATTTGCTCCTGTTACTGAGACCGAGTTTGAAATGATGCTCAGTTCACAACTTTACTTTCTCCAAATATAAAATTATATATCTTAAATTTCATGTCTTTTTAAGTTTTTGTACTAGAATTAAGTTTCAGAGTGACTTCTTGGAAATTTTTCAATGATAAAAAATCATCAACAACAACAGAAAAAAAAACAAATATTGTCAACAGTGTACTGAATATTTAAGATCTTTAATCATGATACTGACTACAATCACTCTGTGTGTATGTGTTTTTATATGCATGTGCATGCATGTGCATGTATGTATATATGTCTATAAATAGTCATTTAGTATAGGTATATTTTAGCATGTTCTGTGATAACCTGATTTGAAAAATACTTAATTAGTTACATAATAAAAAACACTGTGAGTGTTGACCTAAGAGGTATATTGTGAAAAAGTCTATATAACAGTAAAAAAAAAACAACCCTTATGGCTTTTTTGAATATGCAAAAGTCAGGGTATGCTTTACTGTGGGTTATGACTATATAATAAAAAACAAATAAATAATGCAAGGGTGTCTATAGAAGAATAAACAATAAAAACCTTTCCCAAATATTGATTTACTTATTTTCCAAGCTCAATAAATAATAGTTGAAGCTCCATCTCTCACATAACACTAGAATTGCTTATTTCTGGGGAGAATAACTATACTGTCATATGTATATCATTTCATAACAATATTCTGTTTCATAATATTCACATATGTCATTTTTCCACATTGTCTTGAAGTTGAACCATTTATGCTTATAAAATCAGAATATGTGTCATATTTAAACTGGAATTCATAATTGATGGTTTTAAAATTAATACTAATATGTGCAATCATCTTTTATAAATTTTAATTAGTACTACATTCAAGTATTTGGCAAGTATTTTCTTTCCTTAAGTGATGAGAAATGTGCTTCTCTACATTTATTTATGAATACATATCTAATAATAATTAATGCACAAATGATCATGTTGAATTCAAGATCAAATATATTGCAAAACTAAGATGAATGAAGAGAATATTCAAGGAATATATTTTGTATGTTTATTATTTCATTACTTTAGAAAGATCTGAAATACAATGATATATCAGCCCTGATTAATTCTGTGAAGAAGCAGAGTATTGTCACTGGTATCTGTTATGAAGATAAAGCACTGACCTCCCAGGTTCTTCTGATCTCTATCTAATAAATTTTAGTGATACACAGGCATCCCCACGCCTTAAAAAAAGAAATCTGAGGATATTTTACTTTTCTGCTAACTCAAGAAGCACAAAATTATTTGATTATTATTAAGCCATCAATTTTAGACATTTTTAAAGAGAAACTTTGCACACTAAAATTTTCACAAATTCTCTGGACACTACTACCACAGTATCTTAAGGAAATATGTGAATGATTTGAGATAGTCATTATAGTCAAGAAATGGCCAATATCTTGTCTTAAGAAAATGGGCACTGTTCTTCTAGATAGTATTTTACAAGCAGAATGAGACATATGTGCATTGCAGTATAAATAAATATGTTAAATCCATCAACCAACAACTGACAAGTGAAGTAAAGCTCTTATTTCTCATAAATTGTGGTGCATGCCCTTACCTTCTCTAAGAATAGAATTGTAAGCCCTTACCTTTATTTTCAAAGTATTCTGTAAGGTACCATGATAAGATTGTATCTGCTACCTTACTGACAATGATCCATAGAATCTCACCTGGATATTGCACAAGACTGGCTGCCTTAGGAATCAACAGGCTCCTAGAGAACCATGATCATCTTTTGTTGAATGCATATCTTTGGTAGGATGATGTTTCAATTTAACATTCAAAGAACATTAAGAAGTTAGTCACAGGCTGAGTCTGACAGTGAAGTATAGGTATCATAAGTACTTAACATCCAATGCCTCCCACTAGACCATCTATTTTACTGTAATTCCAATCCCAAGAGAACAAGGCTTAACGACTGAGTATAAGAAGTGTGGAAATCAGTGTGCAGGATTTGATGACCCTTGAGGATAAGAATACTATTCTATTGTTTCTGATCATTTTTATGAAGAATATTTTCAAAGCTTTTTTGCATTAGTTTAATAAGAAGTTTCAGTTTTGTTTTCTTTACACTTTATGTAGAAAATTCCAATCTATGTTTTGATAGATACCTTCCTTTCTTGTTTATTAAGTTAATGCTTTGACAATTTTGTTCACATATTCAATTTATTTTGGATCCTGACTTCTCACACTTTCTTATTCCACTTGTTTCTATCTTAGACTCAGGATTTTTTTGTTTCTTATGTGACACACTAAATTTAATCATATACAACTTTTTATCAATCAAATATGATTTAGCCATTGGAGATTGATAAGGTAAGCATTAAGCATACAATTTAAAGCATCAATTCCCTCTTTCCTTGTATCTTCCCATAGGGAAAAAATAAGCATTAAGGTCTCCTCCTGTAAAATCCCAGCTTTTGACAGACTGTAATCAACAATAATTATTGAATGTCCAATTTTGTATTTCCATATATGGGCTAGAGGATGATATTTTGGAATCCCTATATTCACTATGCTCTGTCTCCTATACTCTTTCTGTTTCATCTTTTTCAGGGTTTCCCAAGCTTTAGAGAGTAAGATCTAAATGTCTTCTCAAAGTCTAAAATGTTTCTACTTATTTCAGGGTAGTTTTGGCAGAAAAAAGTTTAGTTCTGTTTTTAAAATGGATATTTTATTTATCAACATTTCAAATGTTATTCTCTTTTCTTGTTTCCTCTCCAGAAAACCCCTATTCCATCCTCCTTCCCACTGCTTCTATGAGGGTGCTCATCCAGCCACTCACCCTCTCCTGCATCCCTACCCTGGCATTTCCCTACACTGGGGAATCCAGCCTTCACAGGACCAAGGTCCTCTCCTCCCATTGATGTCCAACAAGGCCATCCTATGCTACATATGCAGCTGGAGACACTGGTCCCTCCATGTGTACTCTTTGGTTGGTGGTTTAGTTCATAAGAGCTCTGGGGGAGGGGGGATCTGGTTGGCTGATATTGTTCTTACTATGGGTTGCAAACCTTTTCAGCTACGTCAGGCCTTTCCCTAACTCCTCCATTGAGGACCCCATGTTCAGTCCAATGGTTGACTGCAAGCATCTGCCTCTGTATTTGCCAGGTTCTCGCAGAGCCTCTTAGGAGACAGCTATATCAGGCTCCTGTCAGGAAGCACTTCTTGGCATCCACATTGTGTCTGGGTTTGCTGTCTGTATATGGGATGGACCTCCAGGTGGAGCAATCTCTGGATGGTCTTTCCTTCAGTCTCTGCTCCACAATTTGTCTCCGTATTTCCTCCCTTGAGTATTTTGTTCCCCCTTCTAAGAAGGACTGAAACATCCACACTTTGGTGTTCCTTCTTCTTGAGCTTCATGTTGTCTGTGAACTGT